TGCTGGGAGCCCCTGCATGCTGTGGTCTGTGTGTGCAGCTGGTGCCCAGCGGGTAGGGGAGAACAATATGCCGCTGCAATTCCCCATTGCCCCACTTCTGCACCGGTGCCTCTGCTGGTCATCTCCGCTGCTCTTCCCCGTGTCCACACTGCTCCTCCGTGTCCACGCTGCTCGTTCCGGCTGCTCCTTCCCATGTCCTCGCCGCTCCTCAGTGCCCCCTCTTACGACTTGCTCCCATCCGGTGGCTGGGACCAATAGGCAGCCTCGTATTGGCTATTTTTAATTTGTGTAGCCAATAGCAGGCTGGCTATTCTACCCGCCCACTGCCTGCTGTCAATCAGCAGAGGAGGAACTTTCAGAGTGAGAGCAATAATTATCCGGGCCAATATTCATGGATAACTCTAAACTGATGACTGGGCTTTTATATTTTTATACATATCTATAATTTTATATATAATTGTATTTCTTTTTATTTTTGTGTTATTTAAAAAAAGTTTGGCTATTTTATTATATTGGCTTGGAGTTTTTCAATTCAGATTATTTTAAATCCATGAAACTAATTAAAATGTCTAATATAATACAAACAGCTATAAAAAAAACGTGAGAAAAAATGTTTTGGTCTCAGCCTGACAAATTCTCCTGCAGGATGTGCATTGCAGTGCCATTCATTTCAGTGGCACCCCAAACACGCCTCCCACCCGAGGTGTGATTGCCTGCCCTGAAATGTGTGGTGCGATTGCAAAAAAATGTGCAGTTTTTTATTCTGAAGTAAACCTGCATTTGTATATTTTATTTTAAATGAAAGATTATTTTATCCGATTAATTGTAAAAATAATCGGCCAACTAATCGATTATGAATATAATCGTTAGTTGCAGTCCTAGTATCCACTGAGAAATGGCAATGGGGAATAGCAGAAAGAAGAGATCCACATTGCCCAGTAAAGCCGTTGTGCAGTAAGCCCTGTCCACTTCCTGTAAGTAAAAGTAGGGCTGCAACTAACGATTATTTTCATAATCAATTAGTTGGCCGATTATTTTTTTGATCGGATTAAAAAAATACCATCTTCTATTTAAAATAAAATACACAAATGGAGTGTTACAAAGCTTACTTCAGAATAAAACGGTATGCACATTTTTTGCACTCGCACTGGAACACAAAGCATTGCAGTACCACACATTCCATTGCAGGTGATCACACTGGGGGCGGGAGGGGCGTTTGGGATGCCATTGAAATTAATGGCACCACAACGCACATCCCAGAGCAGAATTTTCAGGCCGAAACTAAAAATTACGCTTGCCACATACATATACAGTATATATATTTATATTTTTTATAAAAAATTTTATAAAAGGTTTTATATTAATTTAGAGTTAGCCATGAATATTGGCCCAAGAATTATTGCTCTCACTTCAGCGCACACGGCGATACCTAACATGTGTTCTATGTAGGTGCACCCAACTTGTGTTTCCGTTTAAATGCGCGCGTTCGCGTTACCTCATTGCTATCACATGAGGGAACTCACAAGCCCCCTATGTGATAGCACATTGGAGATGACAGGTTCTCTTATGGGTGAATTAGGGGTCTTTTAGACCCCTAATGTCACCTTTTACTCTTGCCTTCTCCTAACTTCTCCTTCACTTCTCTTGCCTTCTCCTAACTCTTCACCTTTTGTGAATAACCCTGTTAAAGCTAAACTGAGGTTGTGCTGTACATGCCACTGTGGATATAGCCACTAGATGGGGCTGTGCCCTTTATATAGCCATACTTAAAGATTGAATTGCTCTGCTATCCTTTCTTATTAATTAATCCAGCAGCCACAGTTCATAAACTGCATAAAACAACTCAGTAACAGCAATGCATATAACAAAAACTGCATCGAATCACACAGAGCAGACATTCTTCGTCTGCTCTAGGGGCTCTATGGTGAGCTCCTATGCCGTGGTCACCCCGAAAACCACGGCGGGGGAGGGGGGGCAGACTCGATCACCGCCGCCGCTCGATTCTGATTAGATCACTTAGCTCCCACTGTACATTTAGCTCTGCTTCAGCAGGGCTAAATGTACAAAAAACTACTCGCGTTACCCATATCTTCAAAGTAACAACAAAGGAACTTTTAGAAATGCCTATTAATGACTAGTGATGGGCTCCTTTCCCTGAGATCTCATGAGATTACAGATGAAATCTCCCAGCAATACTCTCCTGATGTAATCTTCCCAGGATGCAATGCTTGGGCATGATTACATAAGCTTACCCATATCTTCAAAGTAACAACAAAGGCACTTTTAGAAATGCCTATTAATGACTAGTGATGGGCTCGATGTTCGAGTCAAATGTGAGTTCGACTCGAACATCGGCAGTTCCTGTGTTCGGCGAACACACAAACTTTCAGGATGTTCAGTGGGCTGTTCGTCCGACGAGCGCCCCACAAGGCACTGCGCCTTGTGAAGCCCTGATTGGCTAAAACCTTGCATCTGACCACAGGTCAGGTGCAAGACTTTGCCCAATCAGGGCCCAGTAGTCTGTAAGAGCCATGATTGGGCAAAGTCATGATGGCTTTGCCCAGTCATGGCTCACCTGTCAGATGCCGTACAACTGTAAAGAGTAGGGTGGAGCTAGCTGTCACCAATAGCTCTGCCCAATTGTTTATATGTTGCCGGCATCTGTCAAAATGTGTGTTCGTCGTGCGCGGACGGGTCGGTGGTCGTCGTTTTTGAAAAAAAAAATTTATTGTTTTATTTTTTATTTTGTTGCGTCATCGCCGCTTGGACATCGCTGGGCGTTGTGATGGACGCTGGATTACGTCGGTAGATAGATTTTTTTTTTTTAAATAAAAGACTGTCAAAAACTTCTTTTGTTTTTTTCCAAATAAAGGATTTTTTCAAAAGTCTGGCCTCTTTTTTACAATCTTATTTAACCCTTTAGTGAATGGGTAGGGGTACAAGTACCCCTTACTCATTCACAAGGGGGGGGCAAATCTGGATGCCCCTGGAAAGCACCCCGGTATCGCAGGGAGGGGGCCGGGCGCTCGCTTATCACACCTTTCCTGCCCTGCCAGGCCTGTGCTAGGATTAAGGGTCTGGTAGGGAATTTTAGGGGAGACCCCACGTCTTTTTTTTACAAAAAGGGTGGGGTTTCTCAAAATTCCTACCAGACCTTAAGGGGCTGGTATGACTTTGAGGGGGAACCCCACACACTTTTTTTTTTTTTTTAAATGGGGTCCCTCCTAACATTCCTACCAGACCTAAAGGGTCTGGTATGGTTTGGGAGTGGGAACCACATGTTTTTTTTTTCAAAAAAAAATGTAGTGTATTTTCTTTACAAATGTCAATTTTGCTGCAGCAGGTTCTATACATTGTACAGATGTGCCACTTTACAGGCAGCTTAAGAAGACCCCCAGGCACGATATTTAAAGACATTTTTAATTCTTATTGTTTCACTTTAAGTGATGTTAAAATCACTGCCACTATTTTTGCAGATTGCTCTGGACCGAAATGCAGGCACTAATGTGCCTGCAGTGCCTGCGTTCCGGGTGCAGGCACTGCGCACGGTGGGGCATGGCTGCGGTGGCATTGACTTCAATACAACCCCACACCCCCTCCCGCCCCTGAACGCAGGGAGTCGGCCGGCTTACATTCCAGTGTGTTCTAGAGGCCCCGGCGTCATGTCCTCCCGCGGTGCTTTTGTGGCTGACTTTGCACACGGGGAGAAAATAGAAAAAGAAATTGGAGGACACAAAGTCCTAAATCTCTTTTTCTGCAGCCTCTGTTCTAAATGAATGGAAAGCACAGAGGCGTCCCATTCATTCAGAAGATATTTTACTATCATGCAGTTTCTGAATGGGGAGGAGCCTCTGTACAGAGTGCTCCTCCCCATTCAGAAACTTAAAAATAAACAGGAAGTGATGTAAATCACATCCTGTTCATTCATAACTGGGGACAGATAGTACTATGTGTCCCCAGTTATTTACAAACACTGGAGTGATCAGCTTACAGATGGGGATCCAGAGGAGAAGACCCACGGGCAGGAGGAGAGGACATCACCGTCTAGCAGTGATCTCTACGTGATCGACTGGTAGATCGCAATCGATCTTAGGGGCACCCCTGGTGCTATCAGTAGCTGGGATCTAACATATACAGTATAATTCACAGCCCCTACTTTCAACATAGTTGCATGAATGTGCACTTTTCTGTTCACAAGGAAGCAGGTAGATTTTTTTTAATTAAACAGCAGAGTATGTAATTAACAAGAGCAAAGTATTGCCATATTGTGGAAACAAATATAGACAACTGTATTTGATTGGCACTCAAAAGTAGATATAGTATTCAGTTTAGTTTAGCATTTACATTTTCTGTTTAGAGTAGTGTGTGATCTATGGCACACAAGTTATCTTTGCTTGGCTTCTCACACTACCGTAACAGTACTTATGTTTTGCGTTTAAAAATTTAAAAATATATTATATAAAAAAGTATAGACAATTTACACCACTGCTTTTATAAACTATTAAAAATGTTCCATAGCCATTGTAGATACTAAAAGAAAAGTAAAACGGAAACGGTAAATCCTACATTATGATAAACATGTATGTTATTTAAAAGTACAAAGCAAATTAGAAGAACTTAGAAGTGTAAAGTGCTTTTTTCACTTCACTTTATTTTTTATGTGAATTTAGAAAAATTGCAAATATCCATATTCAGGCTGCTTCATAATTGGAGATTGAACAAAATCGTTTTTTTGTGTGCATCAGATAAAATATAGACCTGTGGCTAGTATGATTTGTTGGCATGTTTATTTAATTTTAAAAACAATTTTTATGTGTCATTCTGCATATTTATTGTTCCATTGTAAATCGTGGACATCATATAATTAATCATGCTTATATTTCACCCCTCAAAAGGAAATTATTTATTGTTATCAACAACCTTTCAAAATCAGTTCCAACAAAAGTTACACTGTGAGTCAATTATTAAACAAATAAACTGAAGGTAAACACCATTTATACCTTATTTGTTTGGAATTTCTTTGGAACAATCTTGTAGTATAACCACTTTGAAATCTTCATTTCAGCAAAGAAGACACGAAAAGGAATAATAATAGATTATACGTTATTACATTACAGATCAAATTACAGAATTAAAGTATATGTCTTATATAAATTATTGCTAAATAAAACTAAAAGCAATTGTTACAACAAAAAGCAATCATGAACTCAAGGAGTTCAACAACTGCAGTGATGAAGTGTAAGGCTGGCCATAGACTGATCTATTTCTTTTGTTCAAACCACAGGCTGAATGGAAAAAATAGACCTGATTCCTCTATCAACATTAACAGCTTGTTGATCATGGAAACCCGCTGTTTACATACAGTGGCTGCCGTCACCTGTCAGAATACACGACCAGAGTGGGCACCTCATTGGCTGCTGGCTCTAATCGATCAAAGATTTTCCGACCGGCGACTTCGATCAGCTGATCGAGGAATGTTGATTGAAAGGGTGCCAACAGCGACACACACTGTGCGAATTTAGGCCGGTTCCTCAAAAAATGTCCGAAATTTGAACAGTGTATGGGCACCTTAAGGCCCCTTTCACGCGGGCTGATCAGGAAAGAAGTGCACGGATCCTCTCCTGATCAGAGCAGTACAGAGCAGATGTCACCGCCGTGAAATCCATGTCTGTACAGTTTTTTGCTCCATCACAAAAAACTGCATTTACCAGACCCCATGCCAGTCTATGTGGAATCTGATGTAAACTGACATGTACAGCTTACATTTGGCACGATACGGTCCAGTGAAACGGAACACTATTCCGTTTGTTTTTCTGGACCTTGTCAGAGGCAGGGTTAACCGGGTGTGAACGGATCCTCGTCCGTTTACACGCCGCTGCCCCAAGACTTGCATATGGCATAGCTCGGGTCCACCGGAAAAACTGACAGCGGCCATGTGAAAGGGGCCTAAAGCTATGGGCAGCCGTATGTAAAAGGACGTCCGCCTGTTTACAACTGGTTACCCCCACCTCCGGATGGGTCTGGAAAAATGCCGGAACGAATCGTGCCGGATCAGGGGTAATCTGATTTAAACGGACATATGTCCATTTAATTCCGATTCCACATAGACTGGCATGGGGTCCGGTAATTGCAGTTTTTACCTCCATTGCAATATGGAGGAAAACACTGCTCGGCACAGATGTCACCGCAATGTGATCAGCCCACATGAAGGGGGCCTAAAATGCAGTAACCCACAGGAAATGTACTTTTCACCAGTTTAGTTGTCAGATTAGTGAAAGAGGATACCAGATTGGTTGTTTTGGGATACTACACAATACACGCTACTCTACTTTCTTAAATAAACTCTTCTTTAAGAAAAAGAAAGACAAAGAACATAACAAATAACAAAGAACATAACTCACATTCACAAGTTCACACTCACACACAAGGATATTGGAACCAGTACCTTGCTTTGGCTGGCATAGCAGGAAATGTATTTGATATGAGCTCGGTATCATCATAAACATCATCTGCAATGCAGAATAAATATCAATAATTAAATTTTAGATAAGTAATGGCTACAAACACGCATAAATCTGTCTATGGAGTTGCTAACACAATATTGTAATAGTGACAGTAAACTTTCAAAAGGCCATAAATGCAGTGTCCAAGATTTCTAGATCTTGCTGGATCTCTTTATCCAGTAACATATGTGTTAAAGTGAACTTGCAATATAATACGTTTCCACTCATGAACTGTTATAATAATCCACTTATGTCTCAGACATTGTTTGCTTTTTCTTATTACTGTATTCTCTTACACACAGTGTAAAGCTGGCCATACATTATGTGAATTTCATCAGAACTGGTTAAAATTTGTACACCCGATCAGCTCATCAAAAGAAAAGCTTCGTATCAACAGAGCTGACAGCTAACAAGCTTTCCGACTGTTCGGGTATTCTGAAACAGCAGTGGATTCCGCCATCAATGCTTATAAGCGTTGATGGAGGAATCTGTTCTATTTTTTTGATCAGCCCACAGGTCAAGCAAAAAAAAAAATAGAACAGTGTATGGCCAGCTTAAGGGCCAGGCTAAATATAAGACTGTAAGGCTGGCCATACTCTTGTACATTTCTATCATTTAGCCCACTAGAAAATGCAGTTTTCTATGTTGAAAACTGCTGCAATCCCTTTGTTAATTAGGCATGGAACATGTGCCAGTTTCTGTTTTACTCTGAAATAGAAATTGGTGCAGGTGGCACACATACACCTGAAACAGGTCTATCTGCCTTGTTAATGTGGCACAAGCCACTCGCACCAGTTTGCTACGCTTTGTTTAAAGCTTTGTTTATTCCCCCAGAGACTCTGGACTGGCTGTGCAAAAAGAAGTTAAGAAAGTAAGTGAAGTAAATAAGACTCACAAGACCCACAGTGAAGTAAATATGTCACAATAAAGAAAGTCACAATTACTGCTTTGTAAATCTTTCCCTTCCCTTCTCTGTGACACACACATTTAGAGGCCGATTTCTAAAGGTAATGAAAATATTCACACAATAAATTGTGTAAATATTCACTTCAAAAATCAATGTGCAGATGAAATAAGTAAACAGGAATTTGCTTTTCCCATGATTGTATAATTGAAGTAAATCTTCACATAATTTACTGTGTAAATTTTCATAACTCCATTAGTAAATCAGACCTGTTAGTGTCCAGGCAGACAACTCAAAGTCAAGGCTGACACATACATATACACAGTTACAGGGCAGCCAGACACAGAATATACAGCTGCGTACACACGGTGAACAGGGCATGCACATTTCCCAGACAAAAAACAGCAAAATATTATAGAGACTGCATACACAGTATTTAAGCACTTCTAGTTGAACAAGAGGGGCAACAGTCAGCTTTAAATGTAAACATTTACTTTAGAGTTTATTTATTTCACATAAAAAACACAGCAAAATATTATACTGACTCCATATACACTGGCAGGCATTTGAACAGGAGAGACACCAGGCAGCTTTTCATAATAAAAAAAATAAACAATACAGCATATTATAGAGTACCTATTTCAGAAAGACAATAGCAGTGAAATAGACCACAAACTAGGAGACAAAAAGCATGGGTTACCCTGCAGGAAACACTATAAATTTTGCAGTGGAGGACCAGCTGTGGAAATATTATTAACATTTTGAAATTATGTGTGGCATCTTTGCAATGCCAGAGCTACAGAATAGGGCAGGACGAGACGGCTATGGTGGCAGGCCAGCATTGGTGGAAAATCCTGTGACCCTTAAACACTAAAACTCAAAGCTATATATTTTTTTCACCTATTGGAAACTTAAAAAATATATAAAAACATGAAAAAAATAAAAAAAAGAAGTTGTTGCTGACAGACACAAAAAGGTAGTCCTAAAAGGGGCAGTTGGGTCTATGCACTGTGCATAATAAGGGTGGTACACAATATTATGTAACCCACCACAATGCAATTCACAGTAACGTAGCACATTACAACAGTGGGTACAGGGGGAGTAAACTACATACTATGTAACCCACCACACTGCAATTTACTGTAATATAGAAAAATATAGCACTATATACAGCACTCTACAGCTCTGTATATAGCAATGTATAGCAGGGATGTGCGGCCAGGGGAGGCAGGTGAGGCAGAGCCTCACCTAGAATTATGAAGGAAAAAGCTGTCAGCTTCATCTCTGAAGCTGACAGCTTTTTCTCCATTCAGATTGGCATCTAACATGTTACAGAGCAGGGAGATCCTCCCCGTTTTGTGTGACCTGTCATGTACCGAGCGCCTCAGCAGTGAGGAGCAAGTGAGGGACAGGGAGGCTCCTCCCTTCCTCCTTTACACTAGCTTGGGTACGAATTGGGGGCGGGGAGGTTT